ATGATGCTTTATGATGCTCCAGTGTACAGGGGCTTTTAATAAAGTTATTTCAAAACACAGTTTATATCTGGTAGGATCATTGGTTGGAGAACTTCAGGATGATCAAGCACACATGGGCTTTTAGTTAAGAATAGGCAGTGATCTCTATGCTACAAGCAGAGCTTTACATGACTGCTTCTCTCAAATTGTACACAACATTTTACAATTGATTCATTTGCCATCAATAAGGGGAAAAAGATTTGCTTTAAACTTCGTGAGAAGCACCACATTCAAACATAAAAATAAACAACTGCCATGAAAAATAAAATTTTAAAGGAAATCAATCATTAGAAAATGATTATTAGTTAATGTTCCAGATTGTGTCTAATGTTGATATCAATCTTCAGAAAAGAATTCAAATGAAAATGAGCATATGTTACATGAAAAAATCAGAAAAAAGCTAACAGATTGGTGGGGCCTGATACTTACACCAGTTGCCAGGTAGCACGCGAGGCTTATCTGCTTTGCAATGTTGGCTACAGATGCGAGAAGCAAAAAATATTGGGGAAATGCAGGAGTCAGCAACTCAACTCCAATGCCCAAACTAAACAGAACCGATGTTGAGAACCTAACTCTCTTCAAGGGAGACAATTACACATTAATTATTTAATCAAACTCAGAGTACCATATTATAGGTTCAGACTATAAAATACTTGATTTGCAATTTTTTCACCACAATTTAGAAATCAAGGAATCTTCCAATACTTCATCTAATATGTACCACAAAAATTTTCCAATTACAGAAACGAAGATTGATAAGCGATAATTGCAAAGAAGTACTATTCAATATTATGAATATTGTACTACTAAATAATAGTGATTGCATAATGTGGCACCCACATTTTGGTGAGGAAGTAATTATACCTTCAAATTGGTATCAAAAGCAGACGCTAGGCTAGCAGTATATATGCACCTACTAAGGCGTCCAAGCCCATCCTTCAAAACCCAATTCAGGGCAGCAGCTGATGCAAGTGAACGCGAGTATCCAATTCCAATTGCCCGAAACATTGCCTGATAATAACCCATTCACACTCAAATAAGTGATGGCATAAACTAATTTCCCAAGTAGATGACAGTTCAAATAAGAAAGAACAAACAATAGCCTTAACAAAAATAAGAAAATCAACCCTCCAATGGGAAAATTCCCCCAGATCTCCCCTGTTCATATTAGTGAGACAATGAGTAACTCACTTTCCACAAGAATCCATAGGACTCAAAATATATGGAAGTACATACCTTTGAAATTCAATCACTGAAAAGAAAAACAATTTACCTGGGTTGCGAGAACTTGCAGTGCAGAACTGAAGACTCTATGCAAAAATTTCCACTTCACATACTCCAAATAATTCTCACATACTTCCCTCGGAAGAAAAAAATTCCTTATACCCGAAACACACCCTCTAACCAACTTCCGAAACCCATCTTCGAAATCTAAAGAAAACGGCGACAACGAAAACCTTGCACTTCCGTCAACAGAAACCAATTTCAAGTCATCTCCGTCCCATAAGTAGCGAGAAACACTACCAGAATTGCGAACTACGACAGGAAGACGAAGAAGAATAGTTGGTTGGTCTTGTTTATCGAGTTTTTCTTCTTCGAATTCGGAGCCGAATAATGTTTTTAACGAGTTCGAGAGAGTTAATGGTTTAAGAGAGAGTTTGAGTGTTTGGAGTGTGAGAATGCGGGGTTTTTGAGGTTTCCATGGTAAGTGAGGATGAGGAAGGGAATTGGAAGCAACATATAAGGTGGATTGCATGAGAAATTGATTGGCTTTATTGGTACGCTGGTGGGTGGGTTTGGGAGAAAGAAAAAGACGGAGTGTGTGTGTGCGCGCGCGAGCGCGAGAGAGAGAGAGAGAGAGATGCCTCAGAAGCAGTGTTTATCAGAACCGGACTGGACCGGTTCTTTAATTAGACCACTTAAGGAATCGAACTGGTGAACCGAAAATTCCTATAACCGGCCGGTTCAAAACAACACCAGCCCTTTTGTCTTTGTCTTCGTCTTCTCCGGCTGGTTCAAAAAGATTTCAGCCCTTCGTCTTCTTCGTCTCCATTGTTTCCAGATCTAACTCGAACAGTGGCCACACCACAGATCTCGACCTCCTTCTCAGCCATTGATCTCCTCCTGAGCTTTGTTAGTCTTCTTCTCCTCTTCATCTGAGTTCTCCATCTGAGTTCTGCAACATCTGAGTTCCATTTGAGTTCTTCGACATCTGCCTCTTCAGGCTTCTCTCCCCTTTTATTTTTTCCTAATCTACAACCCAACACAGCCAGTAGCCAGCTGGTTCCACTTTCTCATTCTCCCTCTTCACGCGCACACAGTACACACACGGTGAATCTGTACGATAAAATTTAAATTTAAATGTCAATTTACAGCCGTTTTAAAACGGAATTATGAACTCTAATTTCATTTAAAAGTGGATTTAGTAGGAGTATAATTTTATCTTAAAAACAGACACTTTAACACTAAAAGCGAATTTATCGATTACCCTTTTAATTAAACAATTACAAGACAAACTGCTCTGCTATCGAGGCTGTCAGTCGCTCAACGAAGGTACAGTTGTCTGACCTTATAAAAAAGTAATAAATTACACTCATGTCCTTTATAGTTCTTGTTTATTACAATACAATAATAGACTTATATTTTATGATATTATATTAACCCCTTTATTTGTTTCATTTTAATTTATCATTTATTTAGCTATTTCTATGACTTCTTTAGGTAATTGCACATCATCTAATTATGTTCTAGAATTATTAATTTTTATTTTTTTAAATGGGTTAATTAGATCGGTTATAATATTATTATTGTATTACATATTAAAAAAAAAATCTAACATGTATTTGATCGTAGAATTCAATCTGATAGCTACAAGTCTATAATAATTTAACGTATATATAACTTTATTTCTTCATATATATATATGAAAATTTGTATGTAACTTTATTAATAATAAATTAGTTCAAAATAATTTAGACTACCTTATAAAAGAGTTTAAAACAAGTTGAAAGTTAAATAAGAGTAAAAAAAACAAATATTAGATTAAGTTATATAAGTGAGTATAATTGACTTTATTATAATTATTAATGATAAAATTAAAAATTAAAAAAAATCAAAAAATTTGACATTTATAAATAGTAAAGATAAATATAAATATAAAAATAGATTTAATAACATCTTATAACTGTAATTATTGTACTCTTTTATATGTGGGGATTACATTTCTTAGATACATCAACATATCAACGTATTTGTTCAGATTTTTTAAGTGCAAATAGTATTTTTCTTCTTCACTTTTTTCTTTTTTCTTTTTTGACAAATATCATTGAGAAGACCAACTATTTGTCAAAATAACATGCTCATCCCATGAAATTTCAATGTTAGCGTGAGAACCCCTTTTTGTCTTTTTGAAAAAATTGTTTGAGTCAGATTCTTTGGTTCCCATAAAAGGTTATATCAAAGAAATTTTTTTGTTTAAAAATTAATTTTTTTTTTCATTGCCCTTGTAAATGAATTTAGATCACACAAACATTCTATCGGAAAGCTATATGAATTTACAAGCATGTATGTGTGATCTAAATATATGTATGTGTCACATGTGTGTGCATTTGTGCAAGAGAGAGAGAAAAGAAAAAGATGAAGTGAATTTAGATTGAAGGACACTATTGTTCAAATAAAGAATAACAGTGTTTAAAAGAATGTCGGAACAAAGTTTGAGTGAAAAATTGAAAAACATATCTAATATCAAAATGAAACAAATAAAGGGGTCAATATAATATCATAAAATATAAGTCTATTATTGTAATAAACAATAACTATAAAGACATGAGTGTAATTTATCACTTTTTTATAAGGTTAAACAACCGTACCTTCACTGAGCCGCTGACAGCCTCGATAACAGAGCTCTTGTTCAATTAAAAGCGTAATCGATAAATATGTTTTTAATGTTAAAGTCCGAATTGCTACATCCGTTTTCTCGAATAAAATCGTACTCACTAAATTCGCTTTTAAATGATATCGGAATTCGTACCTCTGCTGTTAAAATAGTCCTAATTCAATAAATAAGTTTAAAACTACCGTAGATTAGTGTTTCAGTTTAAATTTTACCGTTTGGTAATAAATTCCAACGGTGAACCTGTACAATAAAAAAAAATACCGTACACTATATAATACTTACAATAATTTTTATTATGATTGTATTTTTTAACTAAATTATTATATTATATAATTTTTTTTAATTTTTTTATTATATAATCGGTTCGATCAGTTGACCTAATGATTGAACCACTGAATCATTGATTCAATCCCTTTGTCAGTTCGATATCTAGTCCGATTCTAATAACATTAATCATAAATTGAGCTAAAAGAAAACGACCACCAATATACCTTCGATGTTTTCCGCAAAATTTCGATATATTTTGAGTACTGGTTAGTAGTGGTAGTACTAGGATTTAAGGAACCCGGTTCCTGAAATTCCGATCCGAATCCGGATCATAGCGCTTTTTCATTACAACGGTGACGAGTAGAGTGTTTTTAAATGGAAGGGTTGAATTAGATCGAAGATCTAAAAAAAAAATATCTTTGCACCTAGAGTATTTTTAGATGGTAGGGTTGGACTATATTGGAGCTCTAAAAAAATATATTTTTTATTCAATCCAAACCCACTTAGATAAGTTAAAATTGACTTTTCAAATTGGAATAAGATAAAACATTAATTGAATTTTTAATATATTTTTTACTTGTCAAATGTAAGATATACGAGCCTCACATACCTTTTTATTCTATCCTATCAGAGTTATCCCCCTTTAACTCACAATCGAAACAAACCCATAGTATCACCAACAAATAAGCATACATCATATCACCAACCTTAGAATAATAAACTCCAACTTTAAGTGTAGCTCAATTAATAAAAGAGATGAGCAGTAAAATTCAGACGTTTGAGCTTAAATTTTCTCAATTTCTAAGGGTTAAGTTATAAAAAATTTATTTTTCATGAATATTTTAGTCTCGACGTGAATGATTTGTCTTTTACCTTGATCGAAGAAAAAATTAATCGAAATACGTGTAAATTAATCCAAATATCCTGTTGAACCAAAAAAAAGAATAGTAAACTCCATTATTTCAATGTGTTAGTTAATCAATAAGTTATTAGAAATTATTAAAATAGTGAGATTCACTTATTTTAAATGAGATATTTTTATTGGTTGGTGATGCCCAGTGTCACCCATTACTTGATATTATTGTTATAATGAATATTTTCTCTAATTTGAGGCACTGTTAATAGTAAATAGAACCTATGATTCAACGACTCGTTTTGAGCTTGACTTATTTTTTAAAGGAATCAAACTTAAACAATTTCTTAAGATCAGTTAAAAATACAAGCATTTTAAACTCAACTCAAACTCGTTCGACTATCAACCCTATAACCAATCAATATTTGTTCTCAAGCTTTTTCAGAATGATTTCATGGCAAATTCTAACTCAAGGAAAGGTGACAGAATGGAAGGAAGAAGAGATTAAAACATGCAGGATTATGAAGGATATTGTCAAACAAAACTAAAAATTATAATAACACAACATCATTATCAAAAATGAATAGAAAAGTAACTGGAGCCTTACAACAGGACTCATCCACAAAATTAAAGACTAAATTCAGAACCCAAACAAAAAAAATAAAAATTCTTGCTACACTATTATTTATAAAATCCACAGGGGTGAATACAACCAAAGAAAATAATTGGCAACTAAAAGTAGTAAGCTAAAACATACAATTAGAACGCCACATTTTTGCTATCAAACGAAGCAAAAATCAACCCAACACAGCAGCAGCATCTAGCGAGAGGGAAAGAGAGAACCTAGAGGAATGCTTCTATACTATCAGTTCCACCCCTGGCTCTTCACTATTCTTTGCTAGATGCTCCATAACTTTTACTACTTCATAGAACCTTCGTCGGGATGTTGGCAGCCTTGAGAGCATCAAACAAAAGCCCTGTAACCTAGTCACATTCTGAAACTGTGTGAGACAGAAAGATCTGTTTTGGAGGGTAGATTGGGGAGACAGGGAAAGGAGGAGGAGGGCTCAAAGAACAAGCTGAGCCATTCAAAGACAACAGGGAACAGCCATTAAGTGATTCTGGAAATATGGACTGCAGCATAATCCACAATGATATAGCTAGTAATGATGTACGGAGTATTTTGCCCTAAGAAAATGAGCACAAAGCAAGTGACTACAAACAAGGTAAAAATGAATTCCAAGTACCTTCTACTCATACCCTCTAACTGAGCTCTTCTAATCTCATCTCGAGGAGGAATGCCACCATTCTGCCAAGATTCAATTCTTCTTGTATCACCACTGTACAGACAGAGCTTATGGAAATACAACTCTTCAGTTTCCTGTAAATCCAGACTCCTAATTTGCTCCTTCATGATACACATGGGGTCATAAAGCCATTCAAAAGCTCTTCCCTCTGGTCTATTAACACTGGTAATTTCAATATTATCACCTGGCATGGAAAAAAAATAATTGTTTCAATATAGTTTCCTCTCTTGCTATGCCAACATAATCACCATAATCCACAGAAATTAGAAACTAGATGATATGATTGCCAGTGAATATGCACAATTACAGGATGCAAGCCCCATCTGAAGCAATGACTTAATCTCATTAACTAAACTTCAATACATGGTGAAAAACTGCTTGGATCAGTAAAACATAAAACAAATATACAAAACAGATAAATTGCTTTGACCAAATTACTTCTTGGGTGCAGTGTTTGAAACATTGTAAAGTTGAAGAAAGGAATAAAGACAGAAACAAAATAGACTATAGAATCAGAACAATCATTTATCATGGTCATATGAATCTGTTTTGGTCATCACAAGTCCCAATGTTTTTCAGCCAACTATGGGACTGATCAGTACCACCAATGTCCATGTAGTGCCAAAAAAAACACAACCAAATACAATCTTGGAATCATTAAACTATACTTACACAGGATGAATCCAGGGGAACCACTCTTGATAGAACAAAGAAAGCACTCAAGAAATGCACAAGCAGGAATTCCAATGTTAATTATCTTATTCTTCGACTGTTTCCATGCATCAATATCTGCAAATCTGATGGCACCCGCTTTAAGAAGCTCTTTGCCAATATCCTCACATGTTTTGATAAAAGCATCCCATATCTACACAAGCATGAGAACCAATAGTCAACATTTATATGAAGTACTTGAAACTGCAGAAGCCTTCTAGAATGCTGGCTTATTAAGCTGGTAAAATCACTCTGTGCTACCAAGGACTATATGCCTGTTTTTGCACAGAGATGGTGCTAAAAAAACCCAAATCAATGAGTTTAGATACGTGTGTCATTGTCAAAATTATAGCCTCTACAGCTCATTTTATTGTTTAAGTCTTCCTTGATAACACATTCTTGGTCAGAAATCGCACAACAACAACATAGAATGGGAGATTGACCGCCACATCACTCTGTGACAAGAGAGCTTGCTTTACAATAAACTTGCTGATTGAAAGTGTGGAAGAACAGAGGAAGTCTCAAAAATGAAGAGGCTTAACGAAATAGTATAATCAGAAACAAAGCTTTACAATAAGAGTACTTCCCTTTCCTAGAGTAGACCAAGGAGGAAGGAAATCAAGCATGTTTAGGTTTGGAGAACAATCATAACAACATAAAACAGATAAGTATAGAAGTCTGAACAGAATGACCAACACCACCAGATAAAGAGTAGTGATAATATTTGGTTTGCATCATATATTTTTTTGTTGATATTGTTCCCTATTTTTGCACAAGCACCATGATTAAAATCTCATATCAACTTTAACTCTGAAACATTTAAAAAAAAAACATAAGGAAATCTTCAAATATATGCCAACACTTACCTTGACAACAAACAATAAACAATAACATCGAGCCAACATATAACATCTGCTTGTAAAATGTTACATTTTTTCAAACAGGATTTGACAGGGGAAGCTCAGATTAATTCAATCTTACCACTACAGCTGTCAGAGACTTCATTTTTGCAGAAGGTGTGCTTATCAAAGGTTCGTCACCACTAACAATCTCCAGATGGTTATACAGTCCCACTACAGGAAGCAATGAATTGGAATCAACCTGGTCACGGTATCTTGGTCTGGCTGCCCACATAATCAGAGGCTATCACACAATTCAATGATGCACAGCTCATTTTTAAACCACAAGATAACAGCGCACATGAATGGACTAATATGCATGATTGAGGTTCATACATGATCACATTGAGCAAGTAAACAACTAAAGACTTCTTTTATAATGTGATGGAAAATTTTATGTATCATGAAGGAAATCCTTATGTGACCTGAACGTGTTGTACAACTTACCTGGGGAAGCAGGAACCCTCACGCAGGTAGAGTAAATCATTGGTGTACTCATCAAACCGAGATGCAGAGGCAACTACATACAGTAATCCTTTCTTTGTAGAACTTTCCTTAAATGCAGAACGACAGAAAAACCTGTAAGCATAATCACCATAATATGCCAGCCCGCGTGCATGCATGCCAGACATAGAGATCAAGGCAGAATACCAAAGAAAAGCTACTACTTTGGCAGCAGAAAAGTCAGATAGTAGCCAGTGAAAAAAATCTAACAGTTCATATTGTACCTGATATGCAACAACGGCAGCATAACATCCATAAAGGAAGCTTGAACCTATTCCAGCCAAAATAGCCAGAAAAACCACAATAGGCCACAGTAAAATCCATAGTCCAGCAAAGGGAACACAAACAGTTTCCAAGAATGGGCCTTCCCTCCCTACAAGATCTTCTAGTAACCGATGCCATCCTTTAAAGAGTAATATAGGAGCTTTATAAAACACAATCAGAGTAATAACTGGCACATCAACCAGAATCCCCAAGATTGCTGCCAAAATGCATCCTGGTATCTGTGTAACCCTGCAGAAAACACATGGAAAATCTAATTCATCAATTCTGAGATTGCTTTAACGCGCAAAGATGAGTCGGTTACGAATTTCACAGCAATTACTTAACACTTAAAAGAAACATCAAATCTGGACAAACGAACTGTGGCACATCAGTATAATATGCTAGATAAAATGTAAAGATGAAAGGTACAAATTACATTCAGAATATGGATGATTCTTTATTACCTTTTTAACATCAACAGCACATGACCTGGTAACAAGTTCCAGAGAATCAGATAACAACAATATTATTTATTCGTTGCTAGCATCATAATCAAGTTGTTTTGAATTTTTTCTGTACATTCAATGGAGAAAACATGCATCCTTGTGACTTGACAATGCAGCAATCAATTTCTTTGGATATATTTCAAATGAGCTTTTAGAGCATTTACTGAAAGTCACTTTCCTTACTCGCATTAATGAACTTAAAATTTTGTCTCTAATATTCAGTTTCTATTCTTTTATGGATCAGTTAAAGACATAAACTGTTCAATGAAGTCATCATCAAAACACTTGATGATTATACATCTAGCTGAGTAAAGTAGTACAAATCAGCCAGAGTGGATGAATATAAAAACATGAATTCACATATATAAATTCAACAGTAAAAAATTGACTTAGAAAATTTGGATCAGGGTTAGAGAGATGAATACTTGAGTTCAATAGGCTCCTCCCTCTTGGCCTCCATCAGCCCATCCATAACAGAGAAGTAAGAGTGGAATGAAAAATCTGCAAAATCGCGTACAACAGTACATGCACCCAAAACACAGCTCCAGGTTCCATCCTACAGATTTACCATCAAGTGCGGTAAGTTCTTTCCCAATTCATGCCCTCCAATATAACTTGTTAAAACCACAATGACGTAGATGAGAACTAACATTACCCTTAAGCAATTAATTAACTTCTGGTGAAGTGGAACGCCTTCCTTGCTAATCGCCCTGAATGTCTCCATGACAGGCCAAACAAAGGCATACCCAATGCCCATAGTAGCACTTCCAACAACTCCGACAACACTCCACAACGCTACCGATACCGGAACTAGTAAAATCAGGAGGCATTTCATATATGGACCAAATTTCCTTGTTCTAACACCCATTTAGCAAAACTTCATGTCACTTACAAGAAGTAACATATATATATAAAATAAAGTAGCTTAAAATTTAAATCTCAAACAAGAAGTAATATTTATTTATATATATATATATAAAATAAAGTAGCTTACAATTTAAATCTCAAACAAAATTACTTTTGCTGTTCACGGTTGAGATCACTTTAAAGTTAATCTAACAGTTAATATTAACACCCTAAATTTAATAGAAAAAATATGCCCATAAGGGTGTGTTTGGAGTGACTTTTTAAAAGTAATTTTAAAAATTATTTTTCATAAATATTTTTTAAAAAAATAGTGTTTGATACTGCACCACCACTACTCTATCACCATCACCACCACCATTGCCATCGTCACCGCCACCACCATCATCACCACCGTCGCCATCGCCACCGCCGCTACCACCACACCACTGCTGCCGTCGCCACCACGGTCATTGCCACCCACTACAACCATCACCGTCTCCTACTACCACCACTGCCGCCCACCACCTCTCACCCTCGCTACAAATCGATGTTTAAATTCTGTTATTTCTTCTCTATATTTGTGATTTGATTTTGGATATGAATAAAAATATGTTTATTGTTTACCATTTTTTATTACTCTATGCCTTCAGACACAAGTAATAACTAGTATATAATAAAGTACACTATAATTCAAATCTCAAAAGATAAATAAAATGACTTTTACTTTTCGCGGTTGAGATCTATTTAAATTTTACCCTAAAATTAATCTGACGGCTAATATTAATAACTCAAATTTAATAGGGAAAATAGGCTTCTAAGGGTGTGTTTGAGGTGACTTTTTAAAAATACTTCTAGAACTTATAACTACTTATGAATACTTTTAAAAAAAATAAATTAGTATTTAGAACCGCTCCACCACTACCACCATCACCACTATCACCGTCGCTGCCGCCACCCCATTACCACCTCTGCCACCACCACTTCCACCGTTGTCGTTGTCACCACCACTATCGTCACCCCACCACCACCACAGTCATCGTCTTCACCGTTGCCACCATTACTGTTGCCATCCCACCCCCACCACTATCCCCGTCGCCGTCGTTGCCCCACCACCATCACCACCCACCACCGATTGCTATTACCATTGTCCACTGCCACCATCCACCACAATTTTCATCTCATTCTTATATTTATTACCATTATCACTATCGCCCACCATCAACAACCACCACTACCATTGTTACTCACCACCAACCATCGCCGCCCACTATCACAACCCACCACCATCCATCATTGCCCACCATTGTTGTCAGTCACTGTCAACCACCCCCATCAAACTTACCACCACCAATCGTCATCGCCCACTATTGTCGCCACCCATTGTCACCCACACCTATAGCCACCACCACCGTTATTTACCACAACCCATCACACTGTTATCCAGAAGTACCTATCGTCATCCACCATCACCAAAATCCACCACCGTCGTCGCCCCACAACCATCACTGCCAACCACCATCACCGTCGTCCCCAACCACTACCGCCGTCACCAATGATTGTCACTACCATCATCGTCACCAAAAATCCACCACCAACATCACTATTGCCACCCATAACTGCCACCACGATCTTCATCACCCACCACAACCATCACCGTCTCACACCACCACCACTACTACTATCACCGTTCACCTCCACTACAACTGGTGCTTAAATTTTTTCTTTACTCTATATTTATAATTTAATTTTGGATGTGAATATAAATATATTTATTATTCACAATTTTTTTTATTATTTTGTACCTTCAGGCACTGACAATAACTAGTATATATATATTAATTATGGGTGTGTCTGTGTGCACAATTATTATTCAATTACCATTTAATCTATGCACTCAAACATGGAGAGGAAGGCAAATATTAAAAGGAAATTGACCTTATAACACAGTAGGTACTCCAAACAAGATGAAGGGGCAATAGCCCTATCACAACCCCTGTGTCCCCAAATGCGATCACCAGAAATACCCATGGACTGAATATAGCACCTGCATAGGGTTCGATATAAATCCACATATCACACACACACACATAGAGAGAGAGAGATAGAGAGAGAGAGCGCACATTTGACAACACCCAGTAGGAAGAGTAGGACGAAAACAGGAACGAAGAGGACGTAGCAGAGATAACCCCAGAATCCCTTTGGAAATTTCATTTGCATCTGCAACTGAGCATCACATTTCTTTCAGAAAAATTGTTATTTGCAAACTTTGAGAATGAATAAAATTAATGAATAACAATAACAGAAAGATAGATCCAAGGGAATGAACTGGAGTCTGGCGAAACCCACGAGCACATACCTGATCAGACAAGCAGAGCTAAGAAAGATGAGACTATACACTACTATGAGATTTGAGAAGTAGTAACAGGGAAAATTATACATTGGCCCCTAAAGTATGACTTTGTTTAAATTATCCCTTGAACTATTACGTTTTTTACATTATACCTTGAACTATATGGTTAATTTCACATTACACCAATGTCTGTTAAAAATTTAACAAAAAGTTATTTCATTTTGCCATTAAATTATGTGATTTTTTTTCTACTTTATCCTGATTCGTTGACAATTTTAGTTTTAAAAGATATTAAATATTTGTGTTGCAGATAATGTAAAATAATTTAAATAGTTGAGAGAATAATACAAAATATTCAATAATTGAAGGAGTAAAGTGACATTGGGTCCAGAAATATAATTTTTTCATGACACGAAAATTGAGGAAGCTATTGGAGGAAACAAAGGTGACAGCTGGCATTTGATGACAGCATATTTATTGAAGCCTCATACATTTACGCAATGTGCCTCGGGAATAAATTTTTCATGAAGACTTTTGTCTTCTACTAGCCATGCACAATTAAAAAAAATTTAGTTGATTAATTTTATATTAAATTTATTTGAAATACAAAATTGATAAATAATAAAATTTAATTATTTTTTATAAAAGTAAGTGTATAATTAAAATATCAAAAAAAAAAGTACTTAATCTTTTAACCTCAAAATTTGATAAATTTTAGCCAATAAATGATAAAAATACTCAAAAATATGATACATATAAAAATACTCAAAAACAAGATACATAGTGCATTAACATTTTTTTTTTTTGTGTGGTACCTAACTTTAGCTATTTTTTTAAATCTTTTTTCTCATAGTTATAATAACGAATTTTTAGAACATACAATTTTTATTTATAATGCTTTAATAGATTATGAGTATTGAAAAATTAATTTTAATAAATTTGATTACAGAGTATTAAGGTTTGAATCAATTACAATCGCTCTTTTACAAAATTTAACAAATAGGTTTGAGATTATTTGACTGTAAGTTAATTTTCTATTCTTGTTTATTCATTGATCATGAACGGATTTTTATTAAATGAAATTTTTATGTGAACTATGTAAATTACAGTTTTAGTCACTTTTAATTCGTAAATGCTTTTAGAGTGTTGATATGTTTTTCCTATAGTAATTTTTTTTTGGATTCTATTAATTAATTTTTTATGTGGTACTTGTCATGTTATGTTAGGTATTTTTATATTAACCACATTTGTGATTCTTGAAGCCCTGTCTATGATTTTTTGTGTAGAATTTTCTCGTTCAGGATTTACGTTTCTATTTATTGTTCTCCTAAACTTGTTAAAATAATCTTCAAAAGATTTCTGTGTGAATGATTGAAGAGGAAAAATAGAAGCAAATCATGTCTTAACTAGTTTATGCATAGTTTCTATGTTGCACCTTCTTTATTAACGGGTTATGTTTTTGACTTTCAAGCTATTTTTTCTTCATTTCAGGTTTTATTTAGATTTAATTTTTTTATTATTGGATTGATTGTTAGTCTCAATAAATGTCTATAGAGTTTCTATGTGGCATCTTGTTTATTAACAAGTCATGTTTTTGACTTTCAAACTATTTTTCCTCTATTTCAAGTTTTATTTGGATTTAATTTATTTATTATTGGATTGATTATTGGTCTCAATAAATGTCTGCATACTAGAGTTTCTATGTGGCATCTTGTTTATTAACAGTCATGCTTTTGACTTTCAAACTGTTTTTCCTCTATTTCAGGTTTTATTTGGATTTAATTTATTTATCATTTGATTGATTATTGGTCTCAATAAATGTTGAAATTTACTATCAATTCAACAATTAAGAATAATTAGGTCAATATTATAAGGAGATTTGAACAAGCTTTCACAATATTAGTTATATGAGCAATAAAAAGTTGGATTCACAAGAGGTAGTAATAAAACAAAGAAACACTAACATATAAAATTTTAACGTAAACATAAGAATTAATAAACTAACCTCAATTATACCGAATACAAAAAAAATAAAAAATTATGTCGAATACTCGACCTGCCACACCAATTTAATAAACTAAAATATAAGAATTAATAAATTAACCTCAATTATTATGCCGAATACTAACCTGTCACACCAATCTCTTAGAAAGTTGATTGACATTAAATTAAAAAAAATTAAGTACCACAAAACACAGGACGTAACGTAAATATTGGAATTAATAAATTAAAATAGAAAATTGATAAACTAACCTTAATTATGTTGAAAACTCCAACTTTGACTTCATTGAGTTTGCCACAAAAGAGCATGAGACCATAGGACTTCAAATAAATGACTCTGACAGGCTAATTTCTAACTCTAACGTGAATGGAAGTAAAACTTTGTTCGATAACTTTGCTGAAAATTTTGATTCCATGTAATATTAGAATCCTATCTAGTTATATATATAGGAAAGACAAAAATATATATATGTATCACATAAAATTACCAATATGTGGTATTAGAATTCTAGTAGAGTTTGTACAATTGAATAAAAAATAAAGAATGTATTGCCATAGAGATAAAATATATATAGATATATAAAGGAATTCAAAATATTTTAGAAATCTAATAAGTAGGAAAGACAAAAAAAATATATGTATATGTATCGCCTAAAAATTGCTAATATGTGGTATTAGAATCCTAGTAGAGTTTGTATAATTGAATGGAAAAGAAAGAATGTATTATCATAGGGATAAAATTTATCTATCAAGTCATAGAGATAAAGTTATCTAGCTAATATTTTGATAAAGTTTATCTACCAAGTCATAGAGATAAAGTTTATTTAACTAATATTTTAGAAATCAAGCAGATATGAAAGACAAGAAAATATGTTGGTATAATTGACTTTATGGTAATGATTAAGGGTGAAATAGAAAATCAAAAATTTTTCACATATGCTAACATTTATAAGTAATATAGATTAGAGCAACTTCAAGAGGTGGCAACCCATATATTACCCCAAATTCAAAATTTTTGGCCCTAAAAGGGGTGATATATGAGATTGGAAAATAACATCAAGGTTCATGAGGTAGTATTTTTGCAAACTGGAAAGAGAAAGAGAAAAGTTGTAAATAGGTTGATGAATATTAATCCTTTAGATTAATATAAATTCAACGATTCATATAGATTAATAAATAAAATTATGAAAATGACAATCTATTTTGGCACCTGTCATTGAAACAGATTTATAATTCAAGGATGATAAAATATTGTTTAAAATTACAAATAAATAATTTAACACTCTAAAATGACAACTCCCTTTATAGTTGCTATTACAAGGAAATTCTATGGTAGCGAACAGACAAAAAGTCTGTACCATACCAAAAAGAGGTGGGGCTATAATGAAAAAGTAAAAATAGAATGAAAAAAAAAAAAAGGCGGCTTGAATGGCTTGAATAGCTTTGAAAGGGAATTAAGATCAATTATGAGTTCTTTTACGATCAATCTACTTTGAAAGTTAAAAGTTTCACCATAGCAATTTTACATCAAAATATGGTAATTTTTCTGTCAAATTAATATTACATTTTATTAATTTAATATTTATTTTGAACAGTTTATCAAATTTATATTTAAATTTATCAATTTAAAATTTTATTTTATAAAATTATCATTACATTAACCTCCAGTTTTATTTGATTAATATTAAATTTATTAAATTAACATCAAATTAACCTTTAATTTAACCATATTATCATTCGAGTTTACTAATTTAAAATTTAATTTCATCAATTTGATAATAAATTGACCTTTAATTTCATCAATTTAAAATTAATTTTCACCAAATTAAATATTTCATCAATTTCACCTTTAACATTAATTGAACCTTTAGTTTTTTTTGGTAATATTTAATTTCATCAATTTATATTTCAAATAGAACAAAATGTTGAATGTCAATTTAATGTTAATTTGATGAATTTTAAATTTATAATTTTGAATGTTAATTTAATACAATTGAAGGTCAATTTAATGTTATTTTTTATGAATTGAGTATTAGTTGGATAAAATTAAAAATTAATTTCATAAAATTGCATGTCAATTTGATGTAACTAAATATAGGATTAAGACCAGTTCAGAAAAAAAAAAAAAAAAAGGTTTGACTGGTTATGATCAATCCTATTTAATTGGAAACATCAGAAATTTAGTTTGGAAGAATTTTTGGACCATCAAATGCATTAAGATTGATATCAAATAGTCTTGATCGATCTTAATTGAGTGGAATCACAAAAAAAAAAAATAATAATAATTTGGATCCATCAAAAATATTGGGATCGATCCTAGATTATCATGATCGATCATGACTATTGAAATAAAGCTACACCTTCTTAAAAGTAATGTTACTATTTGCAAAAAAACAAAGTTATAACTTTTGAGATAAAGTTATCACATTTTAAGGTTAAATTACTATCTTCAGAGGTAAGGTTACAATCATTTATGATTAAGATACAATCTATAGAGGTAAATATACCACTTTTAAAAGTGAGGTTATAACCTCTGGAAGGAAGGTTACTGTCTTTTAAGGTAAAACTACTACCTTTGGAGGTGAAGGTACAACCATTTGAGATTAAATTACAACCTGTAAAAGTAAAATTATCACCTTTAAAGGTGAAGTACAAACTATTTAGGTAAAGTTGATGATGCACAAAAATGATTTTGCACACCACCTGTCAAGTATAGATAATAAATGTAATGAAATCAACGAAAAAATTAAAGAAGACACAATTTATAGTGGTTCGGTCAATTCGACCTACGTCCACTCTTCAATGGCTTCAGTCGCCGGGTATTTTATTGATTCAAAGGTATGGAGAATGGAGATACAAGCTTTGAGAGGGGGAATGGAGAATAATAATCTCCGGTAGTCGGTTCATCTTCTGTAAGTCTCTGATGGAGCATGTCTCTTTCCTCTTTCAGATTAGAGCCATTTTATAGTAGATAAGAGATCATTCTTGTGGAGATCATAACATATCCTCAAGGCTTCTTTATCGCAACTTAGAGATTATCTTCGGTGGAGATCACGACTTATTCTCAACGAGAGGAAGAGTTTGGGGAACTCTTGAAGGAAACGTGGCCAAAGATTGGACCGTTGATAAGCTTCTTGTGCTCTATTCTTGGTGACGTGCTAAGCAAGAAGTCCAACCGTGCTCTCCTCTTGGTGACGTGCTAAGCAAGAAGTCCAACCGTGCTCTCCTCTTGGTGACGTGCTAAGCAAGAAGTCCAACCGGCCTTGGGCTCCCTAAGGCGGTGTAGATAAACTTCCCGTGCTCTCCTCTTGGTGACGTGCTAAGCAAGAAGTCTAGCCGGTCTTAGTCTGTCTTGGACTTGGTGGGTTCACGATGAGGTTGGGCTCCTCAACCGGGGTTGGGCTTTAATACATAAATTGGACTACTTGGGCTTAACCCATCAAAAGTTACAACAATTGAAAGTAAAATTATTATATTTGAATTTGAGGTTATCATCATTTGAGGATAAATTACGTTATGTATAGGTGAAATTAGATGTTATATTACAACTTTTTGATGTGAGATTATAATAATTTATAGTAAAATTATTACATTTGGATGTAAATTTATAATTATTTAAGGTTATGTTACAAGCAATAAAGATAAAAATGTCATCTCTAGATATGAGGTGAGCTTACAATCTCTTAAGATGAGTTTACAATCATTTAGGGTAATGTTGTCACATTTAGAGACAAAATTATCACTATAATAGATAAAATTACAATCTTTAGAAAAAAAAAAAGGTATAATTTTTATAGGCAAAGTTATCACCTTTAGACGGGGGATTATGTGTTATATGTGGATAAACATCAAGAGGTACAGAAGTAATATTCTAAATGTGAAAGGTCTAAATAATTAAGTGACAAGTATGAGAGAATCTAGATGTAATTTATTCATTTAGTGTTAGACAACAAACTGACAACTGTTAGTTTTAGGTGCGTATTGATACAAATTTTTATCATTGAAAGTGCAAATTAAATTTTTTTATCTTTAAGAGTATAAATTGAGATTTGAATGATCTTTCAAAGTGTAATTTACGATTAATCCATAAATATTTCATGAAAATGAGATAATGGTAAAAATTAGGATTTCTTTGGAATTAATAGTAAAAAGTAGGAGTAGGATTAATCCAAATAGAGATTGTAGTGGACCGGAGGTGGGGCAAGGGTGGAGGAGTAGTCTTCACCCCATACTCGTTTCAAAAATATTCGTCCATTCCCAGTCCACTCTGTCCCTGTCCTATGAATAAATTTTAATCCCCATCACTGTCTTCGTCCATAACAACTAATTTATATGCTTTTAATAAATAAATTAAAAAAATAAAAATAAAACCTCATAAATAGTTTTACAAGAATAATGAAACCCAAAAGAGAAAATAAATTTTTTCTTTTTTGGTAAAGAGAAGAGTGTGTGGGTGGATGAGGTTTGTTATATGAGTAGTGTTATAAAATACAAATGAAATCTAAAAAATTGCAACTTAAATGCATATCATCCATTGAATGAGTGAGTCTCGTCAACTTTTTTAATGGAACTCACCCCTCCAACACTCATCCAATGAATGATATATATTTGAGTTTTAACTTTTGAATTCCATTTGGGTTATGTAGAATTTTTTGATATATATATATATATATATATATATATATATATATATAAGTGGGTTGGAAGATAGGTGGGTTTGGTGTCTTTGAGATATCTATATAATAAAATAGCTAACAAGTTGAATTTTATCCCTTACACATTTTCCCCCTTAAAAATATCACATCACCTATTTCTATCACATGACCAATTATTTTAATATTTGATTAATTTATTGTTTAATATAATTTTTATTTCAAACATTATCCATGTACGATAGTATACATTTGTTAAGAAAATTTTATCGGATTACGTATTTTGAAAAAAATTTATAGATATTTTTACAAAAATAATGGATAAACATAGATTTTAAATGATATAATCAAAGAAATGAAGGAAAGAAAAATAAATATTTAATAGTGGAATAAATTTTTTTGGGCGCTTGAATTTTATGTTTTCTCGTACTTTCAGGCACGAATTATAACTAGTATATATATATCACGGGTTTAACAGAGTGGGATAGAGGCGAGGCAGGGATGAATTTCAGTTTATTCTCGCTTCTATCCCTGCACAGGTTTATAGGAATATTCTTGTATGCCTCCACCGTCTAATACATAAAGTCCATCCCAAGGGGTAGTTTAAATAATAACAGATACAAGTTGTAAACTCAAACGTCCTGAATTCAAATATTGGCAACCTCTTAGGGCATTTCTATGAAGAATTTATTCTTCATAAATACTCTAATCTCGCGCGTAGATGACATGTCTTTGATTAGATCAGAGAGTGAATTAGTCAATGTGCACCATTAACAAACTCAAACATCCTAACTGTTGAAAAAAAAAAGTAAGATTTGATTGTTCAAATATAAAATTGAGGGTACAAAATTATTTTTGGGACAAAAAGTATGACTTATTCGTATTTTTTTCTTTAATAAAAGACTAATAAGTGAACAAATAAATCTCATGTTCTTTTATATGTAGTGATTATTATCTTATATAGATAGGATAATTATTAAATTATGTAAGATTCACTTATTTATTTATTAATGATGTGGTAATATTACTGTTACATTGAATAATTACGAATAAGGGTAATGTTAAACTTCTTTGAAAATTTTTTTTATCTAATATTTTTATTATTTTATTTTTATAAATTATTTAAATTAAAATCTACAAAGAATTATTTACTCATTACAATAACAACTTTTCTTCTTATTCTTCCATGAATGTGCTTCAGAGTTCACATATACTGTTGAAATTTCTGACTTCTCATTTTGCTTGCACTCGTTTATCAATAATATATGCACTGCCATTCTGTCCTATCTTGTCTATGCCATTTGATTTAATATGATTTTAACCTTTAAAAATTCAATGAAATTAACGGGATTTATTAATCTTCTGGTTCATATTGAATACGTGTATTTCGATTAATCTTCTCTTCAGTTCGGTCAAATGCAAACTATTTATGCTGAGACTACGATATTCATGAACGATATATCCCTCATTGCCTGACTCAAACAATTGTCAAGATTCAAATTCAAGGCATTTAAATTTATAACTCATTCTTATTATCTCTTGAGTTATATGACGTTAAGAATATTACTTTAATTGTCACGAGAATCGCCCAACTCCGATCAAAAGTTGATTGTACATTTTATGTCATGTCATGTTCCAACGTATCCCAAACATGTCACCTGTTTAAAATACGATTCAAGTATACACGTGCAACACGTGACTTGATTCAATTAGACCTAAAAAAAGGTTAATTTTATTATTGAAAACCTTTATTTGAAAGATGAAGACATCAAATTTAATCCTCAACAGCTTTCAAGTCGTATAGACTTCTATTTCACTCTCTTGTCAAATGAATCTTTTAAAAATTTACTCTTAGGTTTTTGGTTCTGTATTTGATTATATAAGATTTTGGATTTTTTTGTTTTTGTTTTTGTTGAAAAAATGATTAATTTAAGGTTGGTAATGGAATCCAAAGATTTAATTTTTTGAATTTTTTTTGAGAAATTGAACTCAATTATGGCACCAATTCAACTCAAGTGTTTGTAAACTTTTGCCAAGTCAATCTTGAGTAAGAATTTAAGCTCGGTAATTGAGATAAATTCGAACTCAGGCACAGACAATCATAATCAAACTAAGTGTAAACATATTCAAATTGGACAAGTTAAACTCGATTTACAGCCCTCATTTCCAAGTGTGGATGGTCACTAAGCTGTTTTATCATCTAGCCCATCATAGGAGGGTGTAATCACCAAAAGGTGCTAGTCATGCATACTGATTTATATACCCAGAAATGGTTTTGCTAGAATCACATGCTTCATTAGGCTAAGAAACATGCTTCTCATAATATCTTTCAAGAGGAGAAACTACATATGTTCCAGATCTGTACCTATTGACATATCTACTAGAAAGACTATAGTAATCCAAAAGTCTAATAGAGGGAGGGTTAAATTCACCATCTCCTCAGATCAGAGCATGAACCATACCAGTAAACTGAACAAAAAAACCAGAGAGACAGAGAAAGATTCCTCGTCGTGCCTTCAAATCAAAGACTGCCTCTTGGCACGCCACCAATCATGATCTTCACAAAAATTGAACCTGTATTTCTTTTAGTACTTTGCCTCTGACAATGCCAAACTCAAGTAAACACTTACCATCAAGACACAGATTGTTCTCCTTCCAAAAATCCAACACTCCCTTGGTGAAGGATACCCGACCATCATTTATGAAATGGACTTTCACAGGCCACTTTTCCCCATTCTGATTGCAGAACACCATTTCTCGCCACCTTTCGAAATGAAGTTGGTTCAACAGTCGTTTAGGAATGTACTGCAACCATGAAAAATGTAATGAAATGTTGATTTACTTTGATAAGAACTAAAAACTAATAATTACTTGATCAACGTGGACATCAAAAAGCGAAGAAAAAAAAAAACTAGAATAAGTTATGTAGTTTAAAACTCATAGCACGATAGATTTCGCAAGAAGGGCACAGAGGTAGACCATAGATGCATGTTGACAACAACTCTTCATAACAGAAAAAGAAGAGAGCCAAACTAAAATGGCATTGATCGACTCAAAAAATAGACATTTTGCTTTGATACATCATGGCAACGGTGGAAAGACACTTTTCAATTTCATTCATCATTAAAGGTAAAGTTTCTAACATGATAACAAATACTTTACTAAAACTTTGGTCAAGTTATTCAGGAATTGAGGTCGATAACTCTTAAGTTGATATTCTTATTTTTGAGATTCCAACAGCACAGTATGACAGCATATAATTTAAATAAGAGTGCATAACAAACAGACACCAAAAAATCAATTCTCTGTGTGTGTGACTGCCTAACATTATGACAAAAAATAAATCCTGTGTGCATACTTTACCAGTTATTGCATAGCTTCCATTTAGATGTCAGAACCTGATATCATACTCAAACAGATCAGGAGCCACTTCATTCTTTATTGGCAAAAGACAATCTACTAATGGGTGTCAACACATTTGGCGGAAATCACGTCAAGAGCCGTGCCATTCAAAGTGCAATACTTAGAGAAATGAAACTTATGTGACGGATGAAGGGCCCCTTTCCAAAACCTAAAAGCATGCAGGTTATGAAAGATCCATTTTGCATAGATAGAAATCACAATAAAATCTATCACTCCCTCCACATTCACAGGTTTCTTCTTTTTGATTCCGTTTTTTTTTTCTTTTTGGTTTGGTTAAAATGAAAAAGACAAAAGTTCAAACAAGAGGCAAGAAAGACAAGTTGAGACAAAATAGAAAGTTAACAAGTATATAAAATTCCTAATTTGGGCACTGACAAGGTCAACAAATCCAGATTTGGGTTAAATTCCTGTAATTCCTTTTCAACTTAAGAAGTTCCAGAACTTGCAGCAAAGGCATGGCAATAAACTTTTAAGATATTATTTTCATTCATTTAATGGCAAAACCGTCAAAGTGTGAGCAGAAAACTTCAGGAACATTTAAATGAATACATGTTATGCTTCTAAGCTTTCAAACTATTTCATTTTCACGCTTTATTACCATTTTGTAATTGAAGGAAGAAAGATACCAACCAGAAAATTAGTGTGCCATTGATGAGAACCATCTTATGCATGCAATTTCACTTGAACTTCAAAAGAGCCAAATTTATTCTTCAATATAAACAGGAAGTGTCAAAATCTTGTCAACTACAAAAATAACTCTTAGAAGCATATTGTCCTGGTAAACTAAATTAAAACCTACAACCAGAGTATGGTGATACTATGAAAATTACTGGTCCTCCTAGTGAACCATACTTGGGTTCAATGAAGCAATTATAATATTTCTTGGACAGATACAACCTAACAATTCCATATACACTACATTGTTTGTAATCATTCCTCAAAGTTCCTTCTTCGTAATTTCTCAAAAAATTCTTCTACTTAAGGCCTCAATTTCAGTGTCCCTGAGTATGTCATTTCTTGATTTGCTTCACTCCAATTTTAAAGAATTATCTCTTAATAGACAATGATCTATAATATCTACAATCAACTCAAAACCTAATAGAGAAGACAGAGATATCTTTGTAAATAGTACCACTCCATTCACCACAACAAAGCGTAACAGAGATGCCAGAGATATCTTCGTAAATAGTACCAATCCACCCACCACAACAGTATATACTAAGTGACCGACGAAGCCTCTTTTTAAAGACCATGGTCCTGGTTTATGTGCATGTGAAACTACTTAGATGCCGCTCTCTAGTCAATCACCTTCTTTCTTACCCCAAGAGTTCCATATGTTCTCAATCCAATTCAGGCCACTTCCTCTGCCAAAACGAAAGCATTAGCCTCTTTCCCTTCCCGTACACCATCTTGTCTAATATGCGTCTGACTGAGTTACTAGAGGAGGGACATCTTGCCCATACATCCCCTGCCCCCCCTTTCAAGTTTCAAGCTCTGACACCAGTTTAATCAAGCAAAGCAGCAAGCTTCAGGTTTCTACACCAAGCAAAGCTTCTTTAAGAGCAATATAAATAAGCTGATGCTAATTGCCAATGATAACACCAACAGCTGTAACAAGACATCTTCTGCAATCTCCCTTCAAGGATTAAACTCTTCCAGGAACCATTTGTTCAAAATTTTATCATAATCTGCTTTTGCAGCCATGGTTGAGGGCTAAAGGCCTTCCATAGTCAAAACATCAAACTAGGGGTGAATATATCCATTTGATAGTTTATTCCTTTCTATACACAAAGGTTAAATCTGAAACCATATCAAGTATTCCATGCCCAGTACAAGACTAATCGCTGGGTGCTCGACCCATAACTCACCAGGCGGGATGGCCTTGAGGGACTGAGAGCTGCAATAAAATATGGATTTTTCGGTAGGACAAGCCCTGCGTCTTCAATTTCCTTCTGATTTTTAACAATTTTTGAAGCAATTCTTGGTGATTTTAGTGGATATACTTCTTGTGAACTTGTAGGTGTACATGTGACGTATAATAGAAAGGGAACACAGAATTTGGAACATAAGTATATAAAACTAATTTTCAAAAACATCTAACGTTTTGATAACTTACATCTTTCCATGCCTCTGTTTGAATATTTTCGCTTATTCTCATATGAGTGCTTGGGACAAGTCCACTCGTCTTCAGTCTCCTCCTCAATATCAACTTTTGCACACATTTGCTTGCAAATACGAGAGCACTTCAGACAAGTCTTCTTTTCTTCAATCTCCTGTTTGCAGTACTTGCACTTGCACTTGCCAATATTAGAAGGCTTGGGAGAAGTCCGTTCTTCTTCAGTCTTTTCTTCAATCTCCTGTTTGCAGTATTTGCGCTTGCCAATATTAGAAGGCTTGGGAGAAGTCCGTTCTTCTTCAGTCTTTTCTTCAATCTCCTGTTTGCAGTACTTGTGCTTGCCAATATTAGAAGGCTTGGGAGAAGTCCGTTCTTCTTCAGTCTTTTCTTCAATTTTTACACCTGTGACCACACTCCCAAGAGCTAAAGTTACTTCTTTTTTGCATCCATTCGTACCAAATGCCCTAACAGTGAATGAAGAATTTCCATTGTATCTACAGAATAAGGAGTCTCCAAGCTTTAAAGAATGACCACTCCCAACATGCTGCCAACCGTTCTTAATAAACACTCCATTTTCAGCGTCTTCCATATCCACATGCCTATACTTCCCCCCAAGATCTTTAAGGATGGCCTTATCTGGTATGTGTCCATTGAAATGCTCAAGAAAAGCTGGTGGTATGCGCTGCACAATTGTAGAATTAGACTTTCATTTTGACAGACTGACATTAAGAACTCAATTTTACTTTTTTAATTCATTTCCTCTCACGGAATGAGATGAATAATTTCTTTGGGTTGGCTTCAAGGAGAGATGACAAAAATAAAAGAAAGTTCAGATTCAGAGCCTAAAAAGCAAGACAAAACCACCATCTTAGTAAGTATATTACATAAAGAATATCCCATTCTATGACATAACCAGTATCTAAAAATTCCTATATCTAATTTAATAGCAGAAGTACCATGTGTCCTTCCGTGCATAAGGGAAAGGGAGCTAAGCAGGGGCTCCCATTACACTTACTTTGATTGGTATTCCTAATGGATTGGTATTTTTTGCACGGTCATCAATTTAAAGTTTCTTTACCCCAAAAAAGAGGTTGTATGCATTTTGTCGTAACAATCCTCATAAAAAGAACTACTTCAGGATGCAAAATGATCAAAACCAAAACCCTTTTGCAGTTTCATATGTATGTGTAAAAGCATACAGTTAAGTGTTAACAGGTACAATTGTCAAGTTTACAGAAATATATTGTGCCAAAAATGTGTCACACTTAACTATTTTTTACTCTCCTCTCTGGATTACTGGCAGCCAGACAAAGTAACTAAAGCTTTTTTATGGGTTGAGTATATTGAATAGTAAATTACTATGTGTACTTCTGAACTGGTCTCTCAAAGATGAACTGAATAATCCATGATTGATTTACAGTTCTGCAGTAATAGTTCAGCTAATAAAAGCCAAACGTATCTCACTAAAACAAAACACAGATTTATCAATGTACAGACACAAGGACACTTGCATATAAATAACATACACACTAAGAGAACCATGAGATATACATGTAGATAGAGTGAGAGGGGGAGAGAGAGAGTACCATATCTTCAGAGCTTTGGTCGGGCAAAAAGAATTTGAAGAATTCAGGACAATCATCAAAGGAACAGACCGTCTGTGGACGACCCCTACGTCTCACGATATTCTTTTCTCTTTGTTTGTCTAGTCTGAGTGAAGAGACTTTAAATACATGAGAAAAGGACAATTAAAAGAAACATATAAATCAAACCCTAAAAATGAAATTTGAGAACGAAACCTATACAGAGTCCATAGAAAGGTTTCCAGATTGGCGAGGTTCCAGTTTTAGAGACAGAAGAACTGGATATTCCTGGATACATGTGAACAACAAATAGATGCAGTAGGTAGCACACGTGGAACTACTCTAGTGCTCGATAAGGACTAGTGATGGGACTAATTTGGGATGGTTGATTCACAAAAAATATTTGGTTTCAGGAAAAAAGGATACAAAGAAGTTTAACAAATCCATCCAAAGGTAGCAAGAAAACAAAGAACAGAACCACAAAACAACAAAAATGGCAGCCTGTTTAGCAGCTTGATTGAGCAACTCAAGGAGAATGGGCTTAACAAAGTAACTTCAGCCAACAGGAATGCTAACTGATTTCTGATCATTAAAAAAGGAAAATAAAAAGGAAATTTCAAACACTTTTTACAACCTTAGTATAATTTAATAGTATCAGCAGGAGAAACATTTTCTCTTATTAAACACTCTGCTTGACTATAATTTGCTTATTTGATTCTCTCCTTCACTGATTCAATTTTTAGGTTGTCTCAGGAGACTGCTCATGATCCAAGCAACGAGCCAAGCTCAAGAACATATTTACTAAGATTGACTCCAATAAAAGTGCTGTACTATATTAAATATTCATGCTGCTAGGGCAAAACTTATAATTGATGAGATTGGAAGCTTACTCAAGATAGGCTCGTGGTCTAGAAATAAAAACTTTCATCACATAATTGTTTCTTCCAATCAGCTCAAAACAGCAAACATCTCCTTCTTGGAGATTGTTATCTTTTACAAATCTCAGCCAACCTTGACAAAACTGGACTGTTCCATGACGATAATTCAATTTCACAGGCCACGATTTTTTAGAAAGCTGAAGCGTAGCACTTGGTCTCACTTTCTCCATGTAGTTCTTGCGAAAGCTCGATGGTATACTCTGCCAAAGTAGGAATTATAATTAGCAGGAAAAATACTCTATTGCCATCATAGAGCTTGATTATCCACTACTGTGATAATAAACGTTTAGCAGAGTATCCATCGTCTCCATACAGAAACCAGTTTGGAGGCGTATATGTGTTCAAGCACCATTTCTTTCAAGGTCCCAACATAATAACTAAATCACCCATATTTACCAATTGATGCATGTCCCACACTACAATTCTCAATGATGTTTGGAGTGCAACATGGTTTTTGCTTGTGATACTAGTCCCAGCTCCTTGTTCCAAACTTGCATCAAAAGTGTAACTCTAGCTTACGGCATAGCATGTAAGAATTTTTATATGGCAAAGATGCTACACCGGAAAATGCTGCAAGATGTTCTACTTTTCCGTAATCAAGGTGGGTTTGAATTAAACTACCTTTAAAAATGATATCTCGAAAAGATAAAAGTATACTCATGTTATCAGAGGCACATAACTCTGTATAAGTGATAGGTTGATCAACTTACTACAATCCCCTTGCTGATATAAGCTTGCCCCAAAACAAGTTTGAAGGAAGGATTTGTGGATATGGATTTGTTGGCTGCCTCAAGATCTCCATCATTCTCTTCAATTGCCATCTTAACCCTCGAACATGAAGTCAATTGAGTAACCTGCTTACTGATGCCTGGGCCTATCAGCTTTTCTATCAGTACGTGGAAGTTTATCAGGCATGCAAAAAACCTGTTGATTTAACACAAACTCACCAGGTCCTATTGCCTGATTCCCTTTGACAAGTGGTAGTGACTTGACATCATTCCTTGTAAGGGAAGCCAGTTTTTTACAACTATTTTTCCCATATAAACTAACATAGAACTTTGAAGTACCAACGTAGGAAAAAACTAGAATATCCCCAAATTCCAAAGAATGATATTGCACAAATTCCTCCCAACCCTCTTGAAAAAAGAAATTCTGATTGACGCTATTCACATGAACCCACCATGATCGTTTGCAGGGACTTTTGAGTACAGCCTTTTGAGGTAAATCTCCATTAAAATTCTTGAGGAATGCTGGTGGGATTCGCTATCAAGAAACAAATACTAGAAAGGTTAGACGCAACCGAGATACTACCTCAATCATCAAATACACTTGGTCGTAATAGAATAAATAAAAGAGTATCATATCATTAGTAGTATGACATCATTGGATATATGCTTCAAAACCGTCATCTACCTACTATCTGATGCTTTGGCTCTACAGGTCAAATTCGGGAAAAAAAATTCTTGTACAACAGATTCTTACAGGTATCATTTTCTCTTTACTTCTACTCTTTAATAATATAAGGAAGAGATTTAATGAAATACTACTACAATCATCACGTACACAGAGTAACAATAGGCATTAGATAATTACTAGTGGGTTCTCCAAGTATGAAACCATTGGATGGAGGATGCAACTCCAAAAAACTATCAATCAATTACCTACTGTGCCGGATTGTACTTCAAACCCAAAAACAAAACAAAAAAAATCTTGTTTTTTTGTCTTCTTTTTTCCTCTTTAATTACAAGGAAAAGTTTTAATTTAATACAATTTCCATTATTAGGTATGCAGAGGAAGAGTAAATCTTTAAGACTAGTAGTTTAGTAGAGGGAAAAATTATAACTAAATTGGATAAATCAACAGTGACATTTGAACAAAAATACCAGTTCAAATAGCAAACAATCTTTCCTATATTACGACATTTTAAAAAAGTGAGGGGTGGGTGGGTACAACAGACTCGGGAAAAGGAAAACACAACAAGCCCTGTGATCATTTTCACATATTTACTTCAATGCAGACTCACATTTGGACTTCTTAGCCACTCTTCTGAAGACATAATCACGATTATTATGTATTTACTTCAACTTCAATTGAGACATTTGCTTAAACTTTTTTTCTCCCAATTCCTAAAAGAAAAATATCAAGGACAGACCCATTGAAACCTCTAAATATCAAATATTACAAATCAAAACTATATCGATAATAGCAAAGCACTTGTAATAGGACAGTGAAGGCTTCACACTTAGTAAGCCAGATCTAAGGAAAAACTAAAGGGTAGTATTTTTCACTCGTTATATTATATAGTACAATCTCACAAAGGTACATTAACAAAACAGGGTTGGGGACATCTTCCAAGCTCACAAAGTGCACGAACAAAACAGGGTAGGGGACATCTTCCAACAAAATGAGTTCACATAGCGGTCACAAAGCTAAGATGGAGTATGTACTGAACTAAAAAAATTGGATTCCAATCCCCTCCAATACTTTGTCCTTCCATTTTTCTTTTTGGTAAATCACCCACCAAGAACCATCCACTTACAAACAAAGTGTCCTATTTCCGTAGATGATCTAACAAGGAAGAAAAAGAATGAAAAATAGTTTGGAGGAATGTCCCAGAAAACCACCAAAGGTGGTCAAAACCATTATTTTGAGCTTGAGGCATGTGAAAACATAGATGAGAAATCGGATTAAGTCATCCAAGTCACAGGCAAGCCAAAACACAAAGAACCGTATTAGGTACCCACCCACATACTTTCTATTGTCAACTCATAGTTATATGCCATTATGTGTTGATAATTGCAGAGGAAAATACATTTACAATAAACAATGTGTAATTAGTAGTTGGATTAGTGCAAAATCAAATAAATAGAAACTCACTGGTAGGAGAAAAAAAAAACTCTCTAGTTGGATTTTCTTCTTCAATGATCACGAAAAGTCATAAACAACAAACAAGAGGAAAAAAGAACTGAACTTTCCCGGAAAAAAAAAAAAAAAGTAAATAATGATTGTAAAGTGAGAGGAAAAAGAAAAACATTACCAGTCGTTGAGAGCACAAATCAGGCGCAAATATCTTGAAGAACTCGGGACAAGCATCAGTGGAAGAGATTTTGCTACGTTTCACCATTCTTCTCTACCGTTCTGAACTCACAGAAAACCAGCAGGGCTTAATAGCTACTATATGTGTGAAAGAGAGAGAGAGAGTTTTCTTCTTCTTTTTTTTTTTTGGGGGGGGGGGGAGTCGCTAATACAGGAAAAGACCAGGCAACACAGGTTTCAAGGGAGCAACCATTAAACTCAGAAATAAATTTTAAACAAAAAAAAAAAACTCAGAAAGAAAGTGAAGATCATGATCTAAAGGTCACTGGATAATTAATTATCAAGACCTATTAAATTTAATTTTTTGTTAAATAGAAAATATCTATGACATATTTATTATAATCTAGTCCTATTAAGAAAGTCTTAAAGGTTAATACTTTATCCGTTCCTAAATATCTGTTGTTTTACTCAATTTTTTTCCTCCACAATATCTATCGTTTTATGAAACCAAAGCATAATTAATATTTTTTTCTTTCAAATTTATCTTTATCTCTATTTTCCAATAAGTGCTTAATAAATTAAGTGTAGGTTAATTGTCTTTCATATTCATTTCCTTCCCAAGACGTATTGAATAAGGGTATTTTAGTCTTGTATACTTATTTTTTATTCATACTAGAGCTATTTAATTACTTCTTTAATCCATATGCAAAAACATTAAACGACAGATATTTAAGAACGAATGGAGTAATAAAAAAAGAGTAATGATATTGGGATCTAATTTACTAACATAATATACTGACTTAATTTATTGTGACCTTTAGATTGACTGTAGATCCTATCAAACATTAAAATTTGGTGTTGATCTAATAATTCCTAAAAAATCACATTATTATGTCAGATTTTTAAGTTCAAATATCATTATTCTAAAAGAAAATTGACTCCTCTTAAATATTAACGAATTGACCCAATGATTTAGCTAATTTTTTTATTTACCCCATCTAATTTATTATACCTATTTAGGTTAAAAAAATAAAATAAACATAACAGGTTATAAATATTTATAATTCTTTGATCAATTTATCAAAAAATCAATCAACTGACCAATTGATGATCAATTGATTAATTAAACTATCCAAAAGACTTAAAGTCCTAGTGGGCATGCATGTAGCGAGGGTTGAATCATGATGTAAGAAATTAACTTAGTTAATGGATAGATGGTAAGGTAGCACAAACATTGCATTGCTAGTCAGCTACGAACTTTTGCGCCTTGCTCGGAGATAGCCATAGTTTTTTTAACCTAAACGGGTATAATATAATAAATTAGATGAATAAAAATAAAAATCATCCGATTATTAGGTTGATCCATTAATATTTAAAAGAAGTCAAAATTTTTATATTATTAATCTTAAGCCTTTCCTATTAGGACTAGATCACAATAAATATATTTTCTATTTAGTAAAGATCTAAATTTGGTAGGTTTTGATAATTAATTTTGAGTATCTTTGTCTAATAACCATTAATTTATGATCTAACGGTCTACATAAAAAGTATCCACAAAAGGTTACGGTATAGAGTCTCCATGATCGTGTTATTCTTATATATATATATATATTTTTTATTTTATTTTCATCTTAGCTAGGGGTGAAAATTTTCAACTTAACACTGTGACACGAATCAAATTTGACACAAATTTTATGACACGAATTCGAAAATGACCTGACACATGAACACGAAATATAAACGGCTCATATTCAATTCAACCTGTCAAACTCAAAATTGATATAATCAACTCGTTCATTTAAGAATAAACACTTTATGTATTTTCTCGTTTGTATGATAATACAAAATTAACATATTTAACTAATATTATATACATAAAATATTAATTATTTGTAACTATTTATTAAGTACTGACATAATTATTACGTAAAAAAGATATTATTATTTATTAAAGTTATTTTTTAGTTTGTAAAAAAAAGTATGAGCATGTGTACAATTAAGTGAAAATAAAATATTAGTATTAAATTTGTCATTCAAAATTTATGTGGGTCAACACGAAACAATACGAAAATAAACAGGTCAACTCGACATAAATGATTAGTTAAATGAGTTGAGTTAAGTTTGACTAATGATCGACACGAATCCAAAATAACTCGACACGAACCTTATACGGCACTACTCGATTGTCACTTTTAATCTTAGCAAGAACAAAAAAAAAATAATAATCATTTTTATTTTCCATTCATCGTACCAAACATAAATGAAAGAAATTGTATTATCCATATTTTTCTTCCTTGAAAGATATAAAGTGAATTCCTCCTACTTTTCTTCCTTCCAACCAAACGAAATATTAGACATACAATTGACATGAAGATAATTTTAAACAGTTTAGATCATAATTGAGTTAATCTCGTAAAACTTGTTTAATGAAGAAGTCAATCTAATTTGGACAGTTAAACATAAATATAGTATAAAAAAAAATTGTATAAAATTCTCAATTGAATGTAAAAGCATGTAAATGGCCCATGATTAATCCTAATTATCTGTTTTCCACCAACACTCGATCGATATCGTGGCGGCAGTGTCTGTTTGACATACAAACATGAGACAATGAACAAATGAAGCATTGCTTCTGGTGGCAGTGTCTACTTGACATAATATTTTGGCATATATTTTTAGTCTGTGTTGTTTTTTGTTTAGGACATAAGGATAGTATGTAAGGAATCAGTAGCAACTTTAAGATAAAAACAGACACATAAAATCTTTTCTCTCAAATTTTATAACCATAGTTATTAGAATCGGATCAACCATTGATTCAATCGTTAAATCAATTGGTTAAATCGGTTATATAATAAAAAAATTAAAACATAATTTAATATGTATTTGACTTTGTGTGTGTGTGTGTGTGTGAATATGACTATGTATACAGTGCGTGTAGAGAGAGAGAGAAAGAGGAGAAGACCCAACAAGATCAAGTAAGATCCAGTGTTATCCGTCGCTATTCTATTCGTGATGAGGAAGGAAGACAAAGAATAAGCCTAGGGCAAAATTAATCGTCTTAGGGAAAAATTTATTCATCTAACCTAGAGCAAAATTAATCTACAGAGAGAAAGGGGAGGAGAAGACGACTGGTTACAAATTTGTTGGAGAAACCACATGAGGAGAGAGACCTAGTGGAGAAATCAAACTTATCTCTTGAGAGTGAGAGACAGATATTGCAAATCGTTAGAAAAGAGAGAGAGAAGGCTGGAGGAGAACAAAAAAGACGAACTAATAATAGTTTCCATAGAATATGCATTTAGTTGAAGTGTCGCGATTGTTGAATAGAGTGACTCATCTCGCAGCCCAATTTCCTCTGCGGAGCATAATAAACCATCGGCTTTTTATAACAAAGAACATTTGAATTGTCTAGTTCACCGACTTTGTCCAAAACTGGCCAATTTTGCGATTTTTTCCCAGCTCACTTGCATATATGGTCCAACTCAAGAACTAGACTGATCTAAGTCCCGGTCCGGTCCGATCCGATCCAATTCTGATAATACTAATTGTAACAGTTGGGTATGGTCATAGGTAATATCTATTATGGTCCAATCATGTATAGGCTGTGCCAAGAAAGGAGAGGGGAGGGGGAGGGTTGGAGAACTAGCACGTTACAAAACGACCAGAAAACTGCCCATGATTAACACCCCACACCAGAGCAGCCACGAGGCCAAAAATGACATCTGCGTAAAAAAGATAGTCTATTGTAAATCAAGGTAACTTTATTTCTATATGTGAAAAAAAATTTATTATGACTCGAACTTATGACGTCCAGCTCATAATTTAGCAATTTTATCATCCCATACAATTCACAAAATTCTGTCAGGCAGAAATATAAACACATCTCTAAATTGCATTGCCAAAACCACAGCATGCCATGAATAGCATATTAAAACCATAAAAACACTACTATGAACATTATAACAAAAAGCCATAGTAGCATATGTATTCTTATCAACTTCATAGAAGCAATAAAGAAGGAGGAAGGTAGCACTTAGACAAGGAAAATTAACCACATTTTAAGCTCTATCATATTTGGTTTTCCTCAGTTAGTCTCATGGACAATCCTTTATCTGATAAGTCAGCGTCTTCTTGCTTTAATGGCAGCTATCTGTATCTTCAGATGCTCGAAAAATTACAACTTCTAGCAAATTTATGGTGCCATTAATCAGCTCGAAGACACAAACATCACCGACAGCCAGAAAAATGTCTTGTACAAATGTGTTCCAACCAGTCTGGATTTTCACATTACCTGGATGGATATGGAACTTAGCAGACCAAATCCTCCCATCCTGTACTTGAAGGATAACATCTTTATGCTTCTTACTCAAATATTGCATGACAAAATTCCGTGGTATATTCTGTCAAAATAAGATTATAGAAGAAATTAACACACACGAACATCCACAGAGAGAGAGAGGGGGGGGGGGTAAAAATTTCAAAATGTTTCTTAGTGCACTGCTAAAGAAAATTAAAGCATGCTCGAAAACTTGTAGATCTCCCAGCATCATAATATACTAATCATCCAGTAAAATTAAGGTGTGAAATAAGGATGAAAGTAAAGATATCAACAAACAAATGATGTACTAAGGTTTTTACGTAGAGAGCTCACCAGAAGACCACTGGAAATGTAAGAGGATCGCATAGTAACAATAAAGAAAGGGTTTTTAGATTTGAAAGCTTTAGCTGATTCAAGAGCTTTAGCTTTTCCATTTTCACTTGCCAATTGCTTCCTCCCAGCTGGAAATGTAGAGCGCTGATGTATCTTAGGTCCATCTGCGAATAAATCAACAAATACACAGCAGCATCCTAAGTAGCATACTTAATATATCTATCTCAACAAAAAGTTCAAAACAAAAAATACAACAAAGTCTTGAAATTGCCTCTCTGTTTTTCATTAGCTCCAACTCCCTGCATGGAACGGTATGGGAAATTGCGTTTCTCTTCCTTAACTGGCTTCATCCTATGACCTTGAGGACCTGTAGGTTGGACAAATTCTCTGTGATTGGAAGATTTATCAGCTGGTTTAGGCTTCCTTGTTTCACTGAGCCGAAACTGTGGTGATGATTTCTCCCTTGTTCTAGGTGGATCTATAGCACTTTTTTCAAGTTTGGGAACCCGGCATCCCCTATTAAGAATGGGTTCTTCACAGGTTCGGTTGGTTTTCGTTTTCTTATGGGGTAGACAATATGATACTGGTGATTTCTCCCTTGACCGGCATGTGGCAAGTTTTTCCTTGATTTCAAAAGAATCATTGAAATCATCATCTCTTGTTGGAAATTCATCCAGAATTTCAATAGAGTTATCGATCTCAGCATCAACTGTTTTAATTTGGATTTTCCAAGAAATCAACAAAAAAGTTAGAAATAAAATGTGTAACAACAAAAAACCTGAAATTTCCTTACATACCTCCAACTCCCTGCATGGAACACTGGGAATATTGGCCCTTCTCTGACTTAACTGGCGTCACCCTATTGGCTTGAGGACCTGTAGATTGAACAAATGCTTTGGTATTGGAAGTACTTCCATATTTATCAGTTTGTTTAAGCCTCCTACTTCTACGGAACCAAAAATGCGGTGGCAGTAATTTCTCTCTTGTTCTCTGCCTAGGCGAAAAATCGTCCAAGATTTCAACAACATCATCCCTCCCATTTTCTTCCAGTTGCAATCCATGATTAAGGTTGGGTTCTTCACAAGTTCGATTGGTTTTCGTTTTTTTACAGGGCCTAGAACATGACAATGGTGATTTCTCCCTCGTCTTTGATGCTGGAAATTCTTCCAGGATTTCGACAGAATCATCAACTTCCACACATTCTGTTTTGGCATGGAATTTCCCAGTAAAGTCAGTTCTTGCACTGTGATTGGCACTGAATGGATATTCAATTTCAGAAGTGCTTCGATCAAATATAAGGACATGGAAATGGGAATTCCCATCATATCTGAATACCAGAAAGTGACCATACTCTATTGTGTAGAACTCTCTGAACTCTTTCCACCCGTTCTCTAGCCAAGCGACGCCATTAGATTTTCTCAATTCTGCCTGCCATACCTCACCAGTTGGAACCTTGAGGAATACATGGTTTGGCACACTATTTCCATATCTTCTCATAAATTCTGTTGGGATCCTCTGTTTAAAAAAAAAAAAAAAAACCCCTGGTACTACAAGTACTAAGAAAAACACCAAAATTGAACAAGAGTTTGTGCATTGCTTCAGGGCATTAAAACATTGTTGACAATACCATCCACAACACTACAAACTTCATTTTAAAAAACACCAATTTTACAGCCAAGAATGATAGGAATGTCTATAGTACCGAATGCAAAAAGAAGATTTTTGGTATGCATTATTTGTAACCATTGATAATAGAAACAATACAATGAGCTTAAAAACCAAGAAGATTTTACATGTCTCATGCTTTCGCTAGAAGCACTCATCCAACAAAAGAAGTTATTACACTATCAAAAAATAGCTTTTGATAATGTATTGATACCTGAATAATGTCACATCTGTGGGTCATTAGAACATTAATCTTAGCTACACGCTCTAAATGGAACGTTAGGCATGAAGGAAACTGGGTTGTGTATTTACAATACTTCTGAATCTAAAAAGGCCTCAAGCAAAAGGATAAATAGGGTTAACAAGAAAAATTGGAGTCCCCAAGTTCCAATTTAATCCAACAAAAAAGTTCTTTGAAAGAGTAACCCAATAAAATTAATTTTAAAATTGGAGTCCCAAAGTCCAACCCACCTCACACAAAAACATTTGTAAGAAGACAAATAGGGTTACTAAGAAAGTGTGATATCATCAATTTTTTTTGACTTTCTCCTATTAAAAAGATACAATAAGCAATCCATCTCTTTCTTTCTCTCTCACACACAAAAACAAAAACAAACTCGATACATTTTCTATTTCCCTCAAACTCAATTGTTACTGTCATTCAAACACAAAATACCAACCAAACTATTCATTCTCCTAAATGATCTAAACTAAAAAATAATTTAATTCCAAAAAAATATTTCGATAAATTATTACCCGAAACAAATAAAATAAATCAAAAATTTATGTGAAAGTTGCAAACATAACAAGTAAAAGATTCTAAAAAATTAAAGATAGTGGAATAATTCAACAAAAAAATAACAATGATGTAATTATAATAATAATAATAATAATAATAATAATCAATCATGTAATACTACAATTTCAGTGAAGAATATACAAAGAACATAGAAATACTAATGAAATAATAAGTTATAATTTTATCAAAATATTAATGATCAAAAGTCATTCAATCAATTAAAAAAATATTTTAGCATAATTTGGATAACAAAATTTAATTAGTAACTATGAATCTCAAAAAATAAAAATAATAAACTATAAATTAAAATTTTAGAATATTATTGAAAGTAAAAAAATAAAAAAGCGTTGTACGTTCATGCATGAATAGCAATATACTTGAAAGAACAAGAGATTGAAATACTTACCAGCCTGTGATTTCGAGAAGACTGGGAGAAAATAATCCTGAAGAACTGCGGCGACTTGGCTGGAAAATTGTTCCGATTTGACTCCATACCACTTTGCATGAGCCGAGAACCATTAGCCATGGGGTGTTATCTGTAATTGTTTAAATTAATTATGGTTTGTGGAATGACTCTTAGTTTTTCCAATAAACAAATAGCATCATCACCCCTTCAGTGTAAAGATGGTTGGTATTAGTAACTGGTACGATGAGTTTTAATTAGGTTTTACTGGTTATTTAATGTCTTTCTAGTCGAAAAACCCAATGGAGTTAATGGAGGTGACTTATGAATGTGTTTGGCGTGCACTTTCAGGATGAACAAGTTTGTATGAGGCTTTCTGGAGGAGAAAGTACTGGGTGTAACGCTTACACGATAATATTGTTTAATTGTCCAATAATAAGTGGGTAAGTGGAGGGGAATTCTACGGTACCAAAGGAGGTACCGTACCGCCAGTTACAACTATTTAAGGTTAAGTTATAATTTTTTTAAAATATAAGTTACAATTTTTAAAGGTCATGATCGATCATGATAAATTGAGATTGATACAATACAAAGTTACAACTTTTAAAGGTCAAGTTACAACTTATAAGGGAGAAGTTACAACTGCTTAGGGGAAGTTCATAATCGATCATGTGTATTTGTGATCGATTATGGTCCCCCTTGAACAGTTGTAACTTCTCTCTTATGAGTTATAACTTTATCAAAAAAATAGTAACCGGTGGTACCGAAGAATTCCCCATAAGTGGATAGTTATTTCATGACATTGATAAATAGTTATTTAATAAAAAATACTATGTAATCCAAATTTACATCTCAAATGAACGGACACCATTGGATGAGTAGATCCCATCAACTTTTTGAAATGAGAACCACTGATCTAATGATCTTTATTAATTTGAGATACAAATTTGGGTTACATAACATTGCTCTCATTTAATTATGTGAAAATCCACTTATTTACTTGTTACTAGTTGGTGCACATGTGCATTGCACGTAAACATTTTGAATTCTAACGTTAGTGTATATTCTTAAAATACCTTACATTGAAGCATAAATAATGAGTTAGATTCCAACTTAAAAATACATAACAATTAGATAGCCAAACTTGCTTATAACCATAGTGTTAATATCGAAGGCCACACTAAATGAAATCCAAAGCCGACAAATGCATATCAATTGAAAAAAACCAAAGTCATTCTCAAGTTTTCGGGGCCATAGCTCACATTAACTTAATAGACACCTCTTTTTTGACCGATACAATTTTTTTTCTCCATCTCAAGATCTCAAAAAGTAGTAAGTAGCAAAATGTTAGTGGCACAAGTGTTTATCAAAATTAGGCAGTCATTTGAATACAAAGGTGTGTGGTCTGTATAATGCAAACATTCAAATTCGGGGTCCTCTTTCTCATTGAATATGCATGATTTAGTGCAGTTTGATGTAACATTCAAGAAAAACCCAACGGCAAAGTTGTTTCGTGATGATTCCTATCAAGTACTGATGCTCTTCATAATAGACGTGGAGATGAACAAATTATAGCTTCAGTTAAAATCACAACTTTTGCTATAGTAGTTTTCTTTCATCCCACCATAGCCAACCAAAACAAAACTACTTTTGGGCTATAATTCATTGGCATTATAATTATTTGATATCCCAAAAAATCCTTCATACTACCAAACATAATATGTTTTAATGATAGAGGATATGTTTGCATCTTGCCAAAAATGTGATTCAATGTGAGCTGATTTTGAAATGAATACAAGCAACCATTCCAAATGATCAACGTGATAGAAATGAAGACCTTTCCTAATCTGATTCATTTCTAGTGGCTGCTCTAATTTTTTCAGTCTTGTTGAATTTCTAGCTTCAAATATTGTCTAAAACTTTATTAAGCAATTCAATTTCGAGAGTGCTACAAATTGAGCTCAAAGAAATCTACTAAACTTGAAAAACATCCACCAAGAAGCTAATAAGCACATTGCAAGTTGAAAGAACTTCACTGATCATCTCATTGGAACACCATTAACACACATGAGTTTATCTACATGCCAATAAATTGAATGGACTGTTTTATGTGTTTGTAACAAAAAAATAAAAAAAAGGATAACTATGAGCCTACCATAAAATATGGCATTCACGCTCATTAGATGAAAAATTAAAAACATATCTAAATTCATAACGGTACAAACTTAACCATAACAAAAAAGTGCTATGAAGCGAGCAAGAAAATAATAGACTAAAATATTGCGGAAAAAACGATTGACTTTTCATAAACATGAAATTGAATCTAGAGAAAAGATGTTTGAAGAATATTGCATATATGTTTCAAATGGCTTTTCAAGGTAATGAACGAAGAGTAATGATCGAAATGAAGGGATAACGGCATTACAATGTTTGGGGTATTAGAATTTGAAGAATGTTTGAGCAAAGAGAATGCATAATGCTCTAAGGACAGCAACCAAAAGCAATTTTCCTATAAAAGCGCTCTTCTGCTTCGACTTAGCGTAATGTATGCACCGATGAAATCAATATGGCTTACAAGCATAATAGAAGAATATTAAACCTAAATAAATAAATTCCTAAGTGATCATCCTATTATCAAATCATAGAAGAAAAGCTCAATTTGAGAGTTGAGAACAACAAAAGAATTAGTCCAACAGTGATTCCAATGGGTTTATCAACAAACGCCATTGAAATTTAAGCAAAATATTATGATAGTAAATAGAACTAGAAGAAAATATCCTCTGTGCTAATAAAAATTAAATAAATGAGAAATCGAAGATATGACACAATGTTGCTATCAAGTTCATGCTTTTAAGACAAATACAAATAATTCAAACAATGAGGAAAAGAAAAAAAGTACATATAAGTTTTGGCCAGTCTATAATATCGGTAGAAAGAAGAATTATCAATATCAACCAACGAATATAACGAAAGAGAAACTGACCTCCCAGAGACAGATCTATTTGGCCTTGACTGAGTTCTTGTTCTACTAATATTTTTAGTATCTAAATATACCTTTAAGATCAATGTCAATTTTTGAAATCAATGAACAAACAACACCCCTTATTGAATGCAAGATTCCTATAACATGTTTCAATGAAAAGTTACCATTGATTAGTAAAATCTTTAAAAAAATAATAACAACAAATAAGCCTTTGAATAAAAGAAATGCAACTCTATAGAAAAATGATTGTGAAAATTTCCAAATCCTAAAATTATATAAAAAAAAATACATAAGATGAATATCTGAACCAAAAAGCATTTAGAGCCAACAAATAAGACACGATAGAAAATTACAGTTAAAAGGTAAGTCCAAAAGCACCAAAACAATGTGCATATACATGTATACAATTTTCATATAAATAAAGATAAATGCATGCACAATATTTTTTCTCAAACCCCCAATACTCAAAGTAGAACACATAACAACCTATATTGATTTCGGTGTTTGATCAAAGGAGACGGAGAACAAAATCATAATGCTCTCACATGAATGACCTTTAGTTTTTAGAAAATAAAGTTTTTTTGGATGTAATACGCGCTTGGTATAAAAGAGAGATTATGGTGGGACATATATGGTGGTTGGTGAACATAGAAAGAAGATGAAATGAATGCAGAACAGAAACAGTAAATTCTAGAGGAAGAGCAAAAGTCATA